CTTTTACTACCCCCCTTGCTGGACTGGTCACCCCTAACTGCCTGCCTCTGCCAGCCTGGTCACCCCAACTGTCCCCCCTGCTGGCCTGGTCACCCTCAATTGCCCCCTGTGCCAGCCTGATCACCCCTCATGGCCACCCTGCTAGCCTGGTCGTCCCACACAGCCTGCTTATTCAGTCCTTTGGTCGTCCCTCATTAACCTCCCTGCTGGCCTGGTCATAGGCAGCCATCTTGTGAGGATGTGAGGGTTAATTTGCATATTACCTATTTATTATATAGGATTCTTGGCTTTACTAGGTCTCCAGCTTATATATATATATGTAAATTCTTAAGAAGTTGAGTCTTTTTTCTCCACCCAAATTGTAAGCTCTTATAATCTTATAATGTATCACCAGTACTAAAAAAGTATGTACTAAATACTTTTTAGAATAAAATAAACTTTAGTTAAGAAATATAGTATAACTGGCTTCTCCTGATTTTCTTTCCCAAATTAGTTGAAGCCTCATTGGAAAACATTTCAACTGAAGACACACAGATGCTTTTTCTATGAATAAGAAAACATTTCCAGAAAAGATGAGAAAGGGACCTCACAATAATAGAATTTGCACAAATAAATGGGTATTGTTCTTTAAAAAAGAGAATTCAAATTCCCAAAAGTCAGTGTGTTATAAATAAAAGTGCAAGAAATTCTTTTGAACCTGCTGTAATATCTGCTTGGCTCCCTTAGTAAGTTAAATAAAATCTTTGATACGTATTCATTTTCTGGAAATAAATAATATTCCAATATTCTTTATTTTTCCTACTAGTCATATTACATTATAAATTTAGTCTGTGTACTAGAAGTATATGCTATAGAAATACACAGATTTTTAAAAATGGAACCAATTCCTAATTTATGGAAAATAGCATCAGAGCTCTGATTATGTAACAGTGTGAACTGGAGAGATAAAAACCAACATATTTTCGACTGATACCCATTTCATTAGGAGACTTTTCCAGCAAATTGTAATAATCACTTCAATATAAAATGTGTTTCAATGAAAGACCATTTGTTTTATAGTTTGACAAATTTCCTGAGGGGAATAAGGGTGAGAAAGTAGGTCAGAATTACTAGTCTAGAGGCCAAAGATACTGGATATGACCGTCAATGAAAGGAAAACTAGAATTGGATGCCAGCATAAGGAAAAGGATGTGTTCTATTTTTTGGCAACATTTGATTTCAAATTTGGCAAAAAACTTAATATTTGAAAACAAAACTAAAGAAAGAATAAGAAATTAGGTTCCTAGAAGTAAGCCATAAACACCTAAAAATGAATCTGCTCTCTGAAGATAAAAATATACAAAGTTTAGAGCACTGGGCAAGAACTGGACCTTGGAAATGCCTAGAGTTGTCAGGCTAAAAGATGAAGACCCTCTTAAAGATAAGAATGAACACAAAGGAAGAAAAAAATAAAAAAAATTGAGAGCACAGCATTAATAGAAGAAATGATTACTAAGCACTTCAAATACTTTGGACAAAAATAAAGCTTAAATCATTTGGAAAATGAGAAAAGTTACATAATGGGATGCAGGATTCCAAGGGAAAAGAAACACTGAAGAAATAATGAAGGACTTATTTTTTAAACATACTAAATTTATTTCAAGCCTTATGCTTCATTCTATAAACAGCTAGTATATGTTAAAAGAAGCACCTCACTTATGATTCATTTGTGACACCTTATGCCTAACATAAAAAATTCCAGGTATAATGACTGGTTCAATTTTTGTTTTCCTGTTATATTTTGCATCTAAAATTTTTATTTAAGTGAAATAAGCCAGTCAGAGAAAAATAAGTATCACATGATCTTACTCATATGTGGAATCTAATGAACAACATAAACTGATGAACAAAAATAGATCCAGAGACATAGAAGCATCTAACAGACTGTCAAACTGCAGAGGGAAGGCAGAGGAGGGTGTGTGGTCAGGAAGAGATAAACCAATGAACTTGTATGCATTTATGCATAACCCATGGACACAGACAATAGGGCGATGAAGGTCAATAGGGGGGAAGGGGACATATCTAATACTTTCAACAATAAAGATTAAAAAATAATAAATTCAAAAAATAAAATAAAAATTTTATTTAAAAAACTTATTTGAAATTAATGAATTTTCTGAATTCTACTTCCATGATTAGAATCATACACAAATCAAATAAAATTTAGGCAAGTCAAACCACTAGAAATACTGAAAAATATGAATATATATCATTAACATTACGACACATTTCCTTTTTGTCTTATTTTTAAAAATAGTTTTTTTTTTAAAATATATTTTATTGATTTTTTACAGAGAGGAAGGGAGAGAGACAGAGAGCCAGAAACATCGATGAGAGAGAAACATCGATCAGCTGCCTCCTGCACACCCCCGACCGGAATCGAACCCGGGACCCTTCAGTCCGCAGACCAATGCTCTATCCACTGAGCCAAACTGGTTTCAGCTAAAAATAGTTTTTTAAAGTATAAAGACTATAAATACATATTTAGTCTAGAAATCTGAAGAAGTCCTTCTTGTATGCATGTCTCTCTGTGTGTATTTTCAACAAATTCGATTCATATATACATATGCCATATTTTACCCCACTCATTTCCATGTCACTATTAGTAAAATACTAAAAATGCTATCTTTAAAAATATATATATTTTTATTGATTTCAGAGAGGAAGGGAGAGGGAGAGAGAGTGAAACATCAATGATAATGAGAGGGAATCATTAATCCACTGCCTCCTGCAGGATCGCCCCTTACTGGGGATCTAGCCCACAACCCGGTATGTGCCCTTGACCAGAATCAAACCTGGACCCTTCTGTCCACAGGCCAATGCCATATCCACTAAGCCAAACCGGCTAAGACCTAAAAATGCTATTTTTAATGGTACATCTTACTTCATTTTATGTGTATACCCTAATTTATTAACCCATTATGGAACAATTACATTGTTTTCATATTTTGCTCTGTAATATTGCTATGATGAGTATTTTGGCACACAACTTCCTGTCTTTCTGATTGTTTCATAATGACAGATAACACATGAAATTGTTGAATTAAAGGACTTTTTGAAGATTACTGATAATATATTAGCAAACTGAATCCAGAAAGGTTATGCAAATGAGCATTCCCTATAACACTGGGTGCAGTGCATTCCAAATGTTTCTTCTTTTTTTAAATGTATTTTTATTGATTTTTTTTTTACAGAGAGGAAGGGAGAGAGATAGAGAGTTAGAAACATCGATGAGAGAGAAACATTGATCAGCTGCCTCCTGCACATCTCCCACTGGGGATGTGCCCGCAACCAAGGTACATACCCTTTTTTTTATATATATATTTTTTTTATTGATTAAAATATTACATATGTGTGTTACAGAGAGAGGGAGAGAGATAGAGAGTTAGAAACATCGATGAGAGAGAAACATTGATCAGCTGCCTCCTGCACATCTCCCACTGGGGATGTGCCCGCAACCAAGGTACATACCCTTTTTTTTATATATATATTTTTTTTTTTTT